ACAAAAAATGTCACCGCATAGCGTTTTTTAGCAAGGGACCCTCAGGGGTGGGATACCGGCCCCCCTGGGATAGTGTGAATTCATATTTAGGATAGACATGTGGTCAGAATCATATATGATTTACATACCCGAAAAGGGGTAGCGATAACGCTGGGGGGAGTGTAGATCCCATTCTGTTTTTGAAGAGGAGAATCTATGTGCTGCAATCTATTTTGTGCAATTCGCCAGCCCAGCGGGCCAGAGGCGTGCTAGCTGCTAACATCTCTGGTAATAATATATAAGCATGTTTCTACTTTGCGCGCGCGCAGCGGCCCCTGGGTGTCGCCAGACGAGAAATACGCCGGCAAGGTAACGGCAAGGTCGGGCCAGAGATGCCGGAACTCCTGGGCGCGGCCTCGGGGGCCCCCCGAGCGCCTCAATGAGGCGCCAACAGGGTGGTACGCCCCACGGCCTCAGGCCTAGAGCGTTCCAAGATGGCCCACTTTGGTCCCAAGACGGCCCACGAAGCGCCCAAGCAGCTCCAGGAGGGTTCTAAGAGGACTTCGAGAGGCCCGAAGACGCACAAATCATTGATTTCGCTTGGGTTTTCGGGCGATTTTGGCTGTACCGCCTTTTCGAGCTGCTGGCCGCCCTGGATGGCCCAAGAGGCCCAGCGATCGCTCCAAGACGGCCAAGAAAGCCTCCAAGAGGGCCCCCGAATGGCCCAAGAGGGCCCTAAGACGGCCCAAGGCCTCCAAGACGGCCCCAGGATAGCCCCAAGAGGGGGCCCAGAAGGGGAACCTGAACAGAGATTTCGAGCTCACGGCCGCAAGGTGCCCCCAAAAGGTCCCAAGAGGTCCCCAAGAGGCCCCAAAAGAAGCTCCCAAGACCCCAAACATGCCCCCAGGAAGCCCCAAGAGGGCCCTACGAAGCCCCCAAGAAGCTCCCCAGAGGCCTCAAAACTTCTCCCCAGAGGCTCCCGACAGTCCTCCGAAGAGACCCCAAGAAGCATCCACGAGAACTCTGACCCACAACCTGTTTCGAAAGTCTGCTGGAGCTCTCTTGTGCCATCTTGGCGCCCTCTGGGGCAGTCTATCGGCTCTCTTCGACAGGGTGCGAGCCACATCTCCAAAGATCTCTTCGAGGACAGTCCTGCCTGCCCTACCGTTCCCCATGGGAACGAGCACACCACTATGCAGCCACCGTGGTGCGAAATGGGCCGGCGGATTGATCGAAACGATTAAGCATACGTTGTGTAATCCGTGTTGTGCAATCTAGGTGGAGCAATCTAAGTTTTGCAATCTATGTGGTGCGATCTATGTGATACGATATATGCTGTGCAATCTATACGGACCAATATATGTGGTGCAATGCATGTGGACCGATCCATGTGGTACAATGTATGTGGTGCAATCTATTTTGGGCAGTCCGTGCTGTGCAATCCATGTTGTGCAATTCATGTGGTGCAGCCAATGTGGTGCAATCCGCGTGGCGCAATCTATGTTCTGCGCAAAATATGTTGTGCAATATCTGTGGGGCAATATATGTGGTGCGATCTATGTTGTGCAATTAATATTTGGCCGTCTTGAAGCTGTCCTCTCCCCTGCCCGTGCAAACATCCCACCCTCCCACCCGCACCTTGGTCGCAAGACCTCTTAAGACAAGACCGTGACGGTACGTACCACATGACACTTGGCCACGACACCGACGCCGACGACGACAGCGACAACGACGACGACGGCGCCGCAGACACCGACTACGACGACACCGACGACGTCTCCAACGACTTCGACGACGACATCGACGACACCGACGACGACGACGACGACGACGACGTCAACGACGCCGACGACGACGACGACGACGGCGACTACGACGACACCGACGACGTCTCCGACGACTTCGACGACGACAACGACGCCGACGCCGACGACGACGACGACGTCGCCAACGAAGACGACGACGAGGGAGGAGGAAGGACGACGACGGCGACAACGACGACAACGACGACAACGACGAGGGAGGAGGGAGGACGGCGACGACGCGAACGACGAAGAAGGAGGAAGGACGGCGGCGCCGACGACGACAACGACGAGGGAGGAGGGAAGACGACGACGACAACGGCGACGACGACGACGGCGACGAAATAGGAAGGACGACGACGAGACGCCGACGACGGACGACGACGACGACGAGGGAGGAGGAGGAAGGACGACCACGGCAACAACGACGACGGAAACGACCACGACGCCAAAGAGGACGACGACGACGAACACGAGGAAAGACAGAGGACGACGTAGGCGACGACGACGACGACGACGCGGGAGGACGGAGGACGGCGACGACGACGACGACGACGACGACGCAAGAGAGCGCGCGAACGCTGTTGTTGAAAACCCGTGTTGCGAAACCTTGTGTTTTTGTATGTCTTTTTTGACACACGATTTTGAAATCCTTCCGAAACCGATGGGTTTTGAAGGTTTCCGGCATACGCGTGCGACGACGCGCGCGTCTGCACTTCGTCCGATTTTTTGCACAAGATTCTCGCGACGGCACACGCGCAAGGGCGTTCGACAGATTTCGACATGCGCGCGCGCGAATCTGGCTTAATAGCATGTTGTGAAAATCTTGAAAAACCTATGGTTTTCTCAAGATTTCGCAAGAGCTCGCGCGGAAGCTTTTTTAGCAAATCAGTGTTGCGAAACCCTGTGTTTTTGTATGTTTTTTGGGAACTCGATTGCGAAATCCTTCCGGCACGGAAGGTTTTTGAAGGATTTCAGCATGCGCGCGCGACGACGCGCGCGTGTGCATTTCGTCTCATTTTTTGCAAGGGGTTCATGAACAAGTGTCATGTTAGAACAAAAAATGTCACCGCATAGCGTTTTTTACAAGGGGCCCTCAGGGGGGGGGATATCAGCCCCCCTGGGATAGTGCAAATTCATATTTAGGATGGACATGTGGTCAGAATCAAATTTGATTTACATGCCCGAAAGGGGTAATGATAACGCCGGGGGGGGGGGTAGATCCTATTCTGTTTTTAGAAAGTAGAATTAATCTTTGACCGTCTTGAAGCTGTCCTCTCCCCTGCCCGTGCAAACATCCCACCCTCCCACCCGCAACCTTGTCGCAAGACCTCTTAAGACAAGACCGTGACGGTACGTACCACATGACACTTGGCCACGACACCGACGCCGACGACAAAAGCGACAACGACGACGACGGCGTCGCCGACACCGACTACGACGACAACGACGACGTCTCCAACGACTTCGACGACGACAACGACGACACCGACGACGACGACGACGTCAACGACGCCGGCGACGACGACGACGGCGACTACGACGACACCGACGACGTCTCCGACGACTTCGACGACAACGACGCCGACGCCGACGAAAACGACGTCGCCAACGAAGACGACGACGAGGGAGGAGGAAGGACGACGACGGCGACAACGACGACAACGACGACAACGACGAGGGAGGAGGGAGGACGGCGACGACGCGAACGACGAAGAAGGAGGAAGGACGGCGGCGCCGACGACGACAACGACGAGGGAGGAGGGAAGACGACGACGACAACGGCGACGACGACGACGGCGACGAAATAGGAGGGACGACGACGAGACGCCGACGACGGACGACGACGACGACGACGAGGGAGGAGGAGGAAGGACGACCACGGCAACAACGACGACGGAAACGACCACGACGCCAAAGAGGACGACGACGACGAACACATGGACAGACAGAGGACGACGTAGGCGACGACGACGACGACGCGGGAGGACGGAGGACGGCGACGACGACGACGACGACGCAAGAGCGCGCGCGCACGCTTTTGTTGAAAATCCGTGATGCGAAACCTTGTGTTTTTGTAGGTTTTTTTGGACACATGATTTTGAAATCCTTCCGAAACTGATGTGTGTTTGAAGGGTTTCGGCATACGCGCGCGACGACGCGCGCGTCTGCACTTCGTCCGATTTTTTGCACAAGATTCTCGCGACGGCACACGCGCAAGGGCGTTTGACAGATTTCGACGTGCGCGTGCGAAGCCCGTTTAATAGCATTTTGTGTAAATCTTGAAAACCATAAGGTTTTCTCAAGATTTCGCAAGAGCTCGCGCGGAAGCTTTTTTGGCAAATCAGTGTTGCGAAACCCTGTTCTTGTATGATTTTTGGAAACTCGATTGCGAAATCCTTCCGGCACGGAAGGTTTTTGAAGGATTTCGGCATGCGCGCGCGACGACGCGCGCGTGCACTTCGTCCTATTTTTTGCAAGGGATTCGTGAAAAAGTGTCATGTTACAACAAAACATGTCACCGCATAGTGTTTTTTACAAGGGACCCTCAGGGGGGGGGATATCAGCCCCCCTGGGATAGTGCAAATTCATATTTAGGATGGACGTGTGGTCAGAATCATATACGATTTACATACCCAAAAGGGGTAGCGATAACGCCCAGGGGGGGGTAGATCCTATTCTGTTTCTAGAAAGGAGAACCCATGTTGTGCGGAGTATGTGGTGAAATCTATGTGGTGGCGACGGTGCGGCGTCGGGGCGGCGACGGCGACCACGGAGCCGTCAGACCGACACCCGGGCCCAGACGACGGGCGGCGACGAGGCGGCGACGGGGCAACGATGGCAACCACAGAGCCGCCAGACCGACCCCCGGCACAGTTCCCTAGACGACAAATCAGGATCCCTAAGTGCAAGTACTGTTTGGGGAGTGCATCGGTACATGTACGAGTACACAGAAAGACAGAGGAAATTATTCATATAGGTGCACACACATATATATATATATGTATATACACATGAGCCGGTAGACGTGTGTATGTATAGAAAGAGGTCTGCGACAAAAAACACTCAGAGTCCTCGGGCAAGCATTGGCTCGCCGTCGCAAATGGTGAGGTGGACCAGAGCGTCCGGCAAGAGGGAGGAGGGGTGAGAAACAGGCAGGAGGTAGGGTGGCGCTGGCAGCACTCGTCCATACCAGTGACGTGGCTCTTAGGTGCGAGCCTAATCCCAAGACGCCTTGGCTAACATGAAGCTCGCCTCCTCGACGAGTACTCCTTCGCTGCTGCCAATGGCGCTACCGTGCGGATCGCTCGGGCACTTGCACATCATGCTACCCTGGCCAGCATTGCCATCGAATCTGCCCATCAAGCTGGCGGCCGCCTCGTTGTCCTGAGAGCGCCCCCCTGTGCGAGCCTTGTCCCACCGGTCCTTCCACACGGGCCGGAAATAGTAGCCGTGGTCCGCGTCGTCCTGGCTCTCGATGCGGTAGCGCGCCGTGGCTCTGTGATGGATGCACGCGGCAGAGGGGCGTTCGAGGCTCTCTGGGTGTACGTCGAAGCCGAGTAGGCCGCCGACATCCACGCGGCCAAGTTGGGATAACTGCCGCACTGCCACGTTGAGGTGCTCCTGCTCGGGCAAGTCCTGGCGCATGGTGATCTTGGCGCTAGTCAGGCTTTTCTTGTGGTGCAGAGAAAGGGTGAACATACCAGCCGCAATCGGCCCCATCTTTGAGCGCTTCTTGGGGAACCAGGTCGCCTTATCTATCGAAACCTTGACGTCCGATTCCGAGTCGGCGAGCACAAGGCCTTCCGTCTCGAACTCCTCGATGGTCTGCCAGGGGGCATCGCTCTTGCCCTCGAGCAGGCGGGCACCGAGGAAGGCGTCGGTGTCATTCGAATGCGACTTGCGATAGCAACGAATCTCCACGGACTTACCGCCGAGCCAGGCGCCCGAAAACTCCACATGCGTAATGTACGTGGTGCACGGCTTCCCCACGTCCGGCTGGACGACTGCTTGGAAAGAGAACTCGGCCGGCTTCTCGGCAGCCTGTGGGAAGCGGAGCAGTGTGAACGTGCCTTCGTGGTTGATGTCGAAGTGCTCTCCTTGAAGGTTGACCAAGTGCGGGTCGCCCTTGGCCCCGACGGTCGGGGCTGGAGTCGAGAACTCGGGATATGGGCCAGCATTGGAACATTCGCCGGTGCCGTTGGGGTACAGCGTGCATACCTCAGTTGTCTCGCAGCAATCAGTGCCACATGCGCAGCAACAACCACCTGTGCCAGAAAAGGGAGAGAATGCGCTGCTCACCTGAGTCCCGTCGGTGGAAGTGCAAGTCTGCTGAACCGTCGCGTCGTATTGAAATGTTCCTGGGAGCGGGTCGTTAAGATCGAGTTCGTATCCCCCAGTAATCTGCGAAATTCCAATGATGACTGTCGTGTGCGTGACACTTGTAGACGGGTCACTCGATAATCTTCCAGAGATGGTGATGCTGTCGCCCAGAGAGAACTGCGTACACGTGTCATACGCGACATGTACAGGAAGAGTGGTGTTACTGGATGGGGTGTCTAGAGCCTTGGGGATGTAAGGATCGCAGCAATCGTCTGAATTGGGGTCCCAGCAGGGCAGTAAGGGAGCTGGGCAGGAAGTGCACTCTATGGAGCGGCGCCTGGGGACAAGGGAAGCCTTGACCAGACCGCAACTGACAGGGGGCAAGGGCGGCAAAATCCAAGCACAGCCAAGAAGAGCGTGGCTGGACCAAAGGAGGAGCAGAGGCACTATTGGTCCCGCATGGTCCCCGAACCCTCGGTTATAACCTTGGATTGACATGGACTTCTACAATGGGATTTTCCTTTTGGGGGGTCCACGGTATTGGGTTGGGGACCAGAAACCGCCTGCAAATCTGTGTGGTCACGTCAGGGCTTCCGTTCCACAAATTACCTGCGCGTTTCGCCAATGCAGTCTACGCACTCGCAGGGGTTCGGGACGATGTACTTGCCCTCTGGGCACTCGTCGCAGGTCTCGGGGATATCCGTTGGGCAGACCGAGTTGTTAACAGCCCAAACCATCTCGAACTCCGTTATATCCGCCACCGCGCTCAAAGCAGTTTGTTATGTGTGTGTGTGTGTGTTTGTTGACTTGTTTGTTTGTTTGCCTGTTTGTTTGTGTCTGTGTGTGTGCCTGTTCTGCCCTTGCTGTGTCGTCAGACTTGCGTCTTGCGAAGCAGTAGTTGGGCCCAGCTGGCACCTAGAGCCCACCAATTCTTCGTCTTGTGGATTGGTTCTTTGCCTGCCAAGCAGACGTGGTACCAGTAGCACATGTTCGGGGTAAGGCGTACATGGACATGTGCTATTATAGCCCCCCACATCCTTCCAGCCCTTCCGCCCTCCGCAGGCACTGTGGCGGAAATCGCGCGGCAACGCGAATTAATTGATGCATGCATCATCATCCAAGTCCCACTTCTCTGGCCCACAAGTTGCGGGTACCATGAAACAATATTCCAAAATGGGCCTCTGCAAATCACATTCGTTCTGGGTAAGGCAGCCATCGCCATTCCGGTCGTAATTCTTGAAACAGGCGGGCACGTAACACGAGCAAGGGACTCCAGGAGCTTCATACACGTAGGTTGGCGCGGGTGTCGGTTCGGGCGTCGGTTCCAGTGTCGGGGACGCTGTCGGCGGAGGAGAGGGCTGTGGTCGCCCCTTATCATGGCGGTCCTCCGTAACTGGCGCTGGCGGCGCTGCAGCCTTCGCCACCTTCTCTGCAGCTCTGGCCTCCTCGGCAACTTTCGCAGTCTGTTCCGCGGCCCTGGCCTCTGAAGCAGCCTTGGCGGCCTCGTCTGCAGGTCTGCCCTGTGCTGGCGGCGTTGCAGCCTTCGCCACCTCATCTGCAGCTCTGGCCCCCTCGGCAACTTTCGCAGCCTGTTCCGCGGCCGTGGCCTCTGAAGCAGCCTTGGCGGCCTCGTCTGCAGCTCTGGCCTCCGCGGCAGCCTCCTCGGCAGCCTTGGCCTCCGTAAGAGCCTCCGCCGCCTCCTCTCCGGCCTTGGCTGCCGCTGCAGCCTTTGCCGCTGCGGCCTTCCTCGCCGCCTCCATGGCCGCCTCGGCCTCTGCGGTGGCCTTCGTCGCCTCCTCTGCCGCCTTGGCAGCCGCAGCAGCCTTCTCGGCAGCCTCGGAATACGCGAAAGCTTTCGCCTTCTCGTCTGCTGTCCTGGCATCTGGTACAACCTTCGCCGCTGCGGCATTCCTCGCCGCCTCCTCGGCCGCCTCGGCCTGTGAGGCAGCCTTTACCGCCTCCTCTGCAGCTTTGGCCTCCTCGGCAGTTTTCGCAGCCTGTTCCGCGGCACTGGCCTCTGAAGCAACGTTTGCAGCCTCGTCTGCAGCCTTGGTCTCCGCGGCAGCCTTCGATGCCTCCTGTGCCGCCTCGGCCTCCGCAGCGGCCTTCTCGGTAGCCTTTGCCTCCGCGAAAGCCTTCGCCGCCTGCTCTGCGGCCCTGGCATCCGCTGCAGCCTTTGCCGCTGCTGCATCCCACGCCGCGTCGTCGACCGCCCTGGCCTCCGCGGCAGCCTTCGCCGCCTCCTCTGCGTTGAGTTGGTGCTGGATTGCGCTGGCGCTGGCCTCCATGATCTTGCGCCATACCGCAGAGCTCTCCCCACCAATCATGTCTTCGGGCAAGCCCTTGTCTCCGTCCTCCACGATCTTGATGGCGGCAATCGCTCGTAGTAGCACTGCTGCGGCCACAACACGGAGAGGAACCATCATACCAAGATCTTGTCTCGGCGATATGGAAATTCACCACTTGGAGCGGGTGATAATAAAAAAGTGTGTCCGTGTAAGTGTAACAGTCGAAAGCGTTGAAACGAAACCAACTAATGAGCCGAAACATTGAACAAGGACTTGGGGAACAAGAAATGCGTCGGGAAGGCCACTAGGGTGTCCTGGTGGCAAGGTCGGAGCATTCTGAGACGGTTGAAGGGCCTTGAACGGGCTCTCTGGCGGCCTGGGTAAACTCTCAAGAATCCCTCCCGACGCTCTTGGTGGCTCTGGGAAACTCGGCCAGACGGCGGCACCGTTGTCGCCAATCGGAGCTCCAATCCTGGGATCCCTGGGCCGAACCCATTGTTACGTGTATGTGTCTATGAAAAGTGTATCCGCCACCATTCTCTGGAAGCACGGGATGGAGTGTCCTCAGGTCCTTTGTCGAATCCTGTAAGCCTCAGTCCTCAATCCTGGAGATTCTTGGGCCCAGACACCAAATTCTCAAATCTTCGGGGGCTCCCCGCGTGCCTTCTGGGCTCACCCGCGTCTTGTCGCATGCCTTTTTCGGGGCCAAGAAGGCTCCAAGACCGCCCAAGATGCCCGCAAGAGGCCGCCCAGACGGTCCAAAAGAGGGCCCCGAGTGACCAACATCATTGATTCCCCGTCGGTTCTTCAATGTTTTTGGGGTTGTTGATTCGAGCTTCCGACGCTCCAAGACGGCCGAAGAGGCCCCAAACGCTGCCTCAAGACAGCCCCAAAGGCTCCCAAGACGGCCCAAGAAGTCCCCAAGACGGTCGAAGAGGCGCCCAAGACGGCCCAACCGGGCCCCCAAACGGCCCTAAGAGGGGCCCAAGAGTGGAAACACGAACCGAAACCTTCCGTCCCAAGAGGCATCCAGGAGGCCTGAAAAGGCTCCGAAGAGGTTCCCAAGGGACCCCAGGAGGCCCCAAAGAGTTCCCAAGAAGCCCCCAACAGCCCCCACCGAGGCCTCAAAACTGACTCCAGGAGACCTCCGAGAGGCCCGACGATATCCCAAAGAACATCCAAGAGGCCTCATACCCAAAACCCAGGCACGGTGGCGGGATGGGCCGAAGGACGTTCTATCTCCGCCGCCCCCTGTTGATTCATCACAGGGATGCCCGGCGTGCTAGACCCTTTCGATTTTGGTTCTTTTAGAAACTCCCTGGGGCTTCGGCCCGTCCCGCCGGCCACCCGAAGAGACTCCAAACTGCAAATGTCAAAATCTTTCATGCCCAAGATGGCCCCAGCCGCCAGCCGCCGGCCGACGCAGGCGCCGGCCCGAGGAAAGAGGAGAAGGAAGGAGGGGAGGGGTGGGGGTGGGGGGGGGGGGGGTCGAACCCCCCCCCTTCCGTCCAGGGGGGGGGGCCCGGTTCCAACCCCCCCATCCACATCCAAGCGACCACAGAACGCGCTCTTTTGCATGTATAGAAAACCCTGCGTGAAAAACGCTGCAGAATCTGGCAAATCTGACCTGTACCAGAAGGCCCTCGGGCGAGCACCAGCTCGTTTTCGCAAAAGGCGAGGTGGGCGGGAGTGGCCAGAAAGAGGGAGGGGTCAGGAATGAGGCAGGAGGAAGAGTGCCGTCGGCAACACACGCCCATGCCAGAGCGACGCGGCTCAGATGTGCGAGCCTACTCCCAAGACGCCTTTGCGAGCATGAAACTCGCCTCCTCCACGAGTACTCCCTCGATACTTCCAGCGGCGCTGCCGTGCGAAGCGCTCGGGCACTTGCACATCTTGTTGCCCAGTCCGCCGCTGCCACCGAATCTGCCCATCAAGCTGGCGGCCGCCTCGTTGTCCCGCGAGTGCGCCCCTGTGCGAGCCTTGTCCCAGCGGTCCTTCCACGCAGGCCGGAAGTAGTAGCCGTGGTCAGCGTCGTCCTGGCTCTCGATGCGGTAGCGCGCTGTGGCTCTGTGATGGACGCACGCGGCAGAGGGGCGCTCGAGGCTCTCTGGGTGTGCATCGAAGCCGAGTAGGCCGCCGACGTCCACGCGGCCAAGTTGGGACAACTGCCGCATTGCCACGTTGAGGTGCTCCTGCTCGGGCAAGTCCTGGCGCATGGTGATCTTGGCGCTAGTCGGGCTTTTCTTGTGGCGCAGAGACAGGGTGAACATACCAGCCGCGGTCGGCCCCGCCTTTGAGCGCTTCTTAGGGAACCAGGTCGTCTTGTCTAGCGAAACCTGGATGTCCGATTCCGAGTCGGCGAGCACAAGGTCCTTCGTCTCGAATTCCTCGATGGTCTGCCAGGGGGAATCACTCTTGCCCTCGAGCAGCCGGGCACCGAGGAATGCGTCGGTGTCATTCGAATGCGACTTGCGGTAGCAGCGAATCTCCACGGACTTACCGCCGAGCCAGGCGCCCGACAGCTCCACATGGGTAATGTACGTGGTGCACGGCTTCCCAACGTCTGGCTGGACAACTGCTTGGAATGAGAATTCGGCTGGCTTCTCGGCAGCCTGTGGGAAACGGAGCAGTGTGAATGTGCCTTCGTGGTTGATGTCGAAATGCTCTCCTTGAAGGTTGACCAAATGCGGGTCGCCCTTGGCCCCGACGGTCGGGGCTGGAGTCGAGAATTCTGGGTACGGACCAGCATTGGAGCACGCACCAGTGCCGTTGGGGTACAGAGTGCATACCTCGGTTGACTCGCAACAATCAGTGCCACATGCGCAGCAACAACCACCAGAAAAGGGAGAGGACGAGCTGCTCACCTGAGTCCCGTCAGTGGAAGTGCAAGTCTGCTGAACAGTCGCGTCATATTGAAATGTTCCTGGTAGCGGGTCGTTCAGATCGAGTTCGTACCCTCCAGTAATCTGAGAAATCCCGATGACGACTGTTGTGTGCGTGACAGTTGTAGTTGGGTCACTCGATAATCTTCCAGTGATGGTGATACTGTCGCCCAGAGAGAACTCAGTGCACGTCTGATACGCGACATGTACAGGAAGAGTGTTGTTACTGGGTGGGGAGCTTCGAGCTTCGATTCCGGGAATGTAAGGATCGCAGCAGCCGTCTACGTCGGGGTCCTGGCAGGGCACGAAGGGAGCTGGGCAGGGAGTGCACTCTGCAGAGCGGCGCCTGGGGACGATAGAAGCCTTGACCAAACCGAAAATGACAGGGGGGGGGGGCGGGGGCGGCAAAATCCAAGGACAGCCAGGAAGAGCATGACCGGATCAAAGGAGGAGGGGCAGGAGGCGAGGTTATATCGACTGGTCCCCCAGCCCTCGGCCGTACCACTGAACTGCACTTTTTAAAAAACAAGGGTAGCATTTGGTATTGGGGGCCAGAAATCGCATGCAACTCTGCGTGGTCGTGTCAGGGCTTCAGTTCCCCAAAAAACCTGCGCGTTTCGCCAATGCACTCTACGCACTCACAGGGATTCGGGACGATGTACTTGCCCTCTGGGCACTCGTCGCACGGCTCGGGGACTTCCTGTGGGCAGACTGATTGGTTGACAGCGTAAACCCACTCGAACTCGGTTATGTCCGCCACCGCCTTCGAAAGCGGTCTGTGTGTATGTGTGCGCGTATGTGCGAGAGTGAGAGAGAAGGAGAGAGTGCGTGCGTGCGTGCGTGCGTGCGTGCGTGTGTGTGTGTGTGTATACATGTGTTTATGTGTCTGTCTCTGTGTGTGTGTGTGTTTGTGTGTGTGTGTTTGTGTGTGTGTGTGTGAGTGTGTGTGTGTGTGTGTGTGTGTGTGTGTGTGTGTGTGTGTGTGTGTGTGCGTGTGTGCGTGCGTGCGTGCGTGCGTGCGTGCGTGCGTGCGTGCGTGTGTGAGTGTGTGTGTGTGTGTGTGTGTGTATGAGAGAAAGTGTCTGTCGTTGGATTCGCTTCCTGCGAAGCAGTAGTCAAAGACCGGCAACATCGAATCGGCATGCATCGGGTGAACATTGAATCAAATTGGGCTCGGAATTCCCAAGCGGGGTATCGGACCGAATCGGAATCAAAACCGCATCAACTGCCAATCGGCAACTCAAGCCGAATCGACATCGAATCGGAATGCAAACCAGGCGACTGCCACGCCATGGGAATGTGGCACGGGGAGAGAACGCAGCTCCTGCGCACCCCGCCACCTATGGTGCCGAGGAAGGAGAGGGGGAGGAGAAGCAGGAGGAGGAGGAGGAAGAAGAGGAGGAGGGATGATGATGATGATGATGATGATGAGGAGGAGAGGGGGGAGAAGCAGGAGGAGGAGGAAGAAGAGGAGGAGGAGGGAGGAGGAGGAGGAGGGAGGAGGATGAGGAGGAGCGCGCGGCCCAAAGAGAAAGAAGGGCGGCCAAGAGCGCGAGACGCGAACGAAAGAAACCCGTCCAGGGGAAAATGTCGACCGCAGCAATCCGCGTCTCCTCAAGGGAGCTCTACCCCAGCTCCGTGCCTCTGAGAATCGACTGAACACGACGATCGCGGGCCCCGGCGAACCGCGCCCTCGCGCGGATGGCGCGAGCAGCGGCGGCGGGGCCGCGGGCGCCTGAGGTACGCATCTCATTGTGCGCGGAGTGCACCACGTCGAGGAACGTAGCACACGAGAGGAGCGCAGAGTCGGAAAGCGGAAAAAGAGGGAAGAGAAGCAGACGGGCGACAGCGGCAGCGGAGGCAAAAGAGGGGGGCAAGAGAGGAAAAAACGAGCAATGGGTGGTGGCGGCGGGACAAATGACAAGGTGACGAATGTCATCGCCGCCTACGCGCCCAAGGTAATGACAAGCCTGGGTGGGACCAGGGAACCTTCGAGAGGTGACCCCAGCATTACAGACATATTTCAAGACTGTGGCACGGATGAAAAGAGGGGCAACCCGCCCAAGCCTCCAGAAGAACATGTAAAGACGGTCCAAATCGGTAGGAGACGGAGGGCCAAACAAATGCTGGACGCTCTTCCGAATCATCGGCTTGCTAGTCAAGTCGAGACGATCAAGGACAAACTTAAAGGTCTGAAGCTGAAGACGGGGGTGCCAAAAACGGGGATAGAGCGGAAGGCGCTCAGCATACGATAGTTTCTGGTCAAGTTCAGAATAATGCTATTCGAATGCCAGCTCTGGCCACGCGGGACGAGGAGGGCGTCATCAGACTGGGCGCGCTCGTCGAGGAAGAACCGAACAGCCTGGAACGCTGGCGTGGTCAACGCAAACCGATGCATGGCAGCACGGGACATCGCCTCGACGGTTTTTGGCATCAGCCTCAAAGCTTAACTGGGTGAGCGCACGCATGGACACGCTGGTGATGGCGTTGCGGGGGTTGTTCTGAATAACCTGCAAGCAATTGCGTTCGGCGCGCATGACCTCAACCGTGGGGAGGTAGTACTGACCGATAAACGAGAGAACGGGAAACGCCCTGGGGTTGCACTGGGCAGCGCTCTTGAGGAAGCCTAGGCCCAGATGCTTGATGTCCCACGTCCTGGAGATGAGCTTGGCGCACGGCCCACTCCAGCTGCGCCCCCGCCCTCCGGGCCCGAGAAAGACTCCAAGATTGCGCCCGCGCTGCGATATCTGACAACAATGTGCCTGAAGCCCTTGCTGAGCCAGATGCCGAAGAACCTCGGGTCGCGAAGGGGCCGCCGCGAACGCGAGGAAAGTCTTGGCGGCGGCGAGCTCGAGGCCGGCAGCCCTGGCAAAAACGGCGAAGCGAGCCGTGGCCGCGCGGAGGGGCTGGTTGTGCGCGGCAAACCCGATGTCATCAGCGAAAATCCCGAGCTGATTAAGGTTCGCGGGCAGGGAATGGCGGAGCATGCGCACGAATGGGCCCAAGGCGAGGACGAAGACAAACTGAGACATCGGGCAGCCGTTCTTGATGCCGCAAAAGGCATGACAGCTACGACCCGCGCGCCCGCAACAGACGACCTCAACCTGCATGTCACTGTACAATTGCCGAATCAGGCGCTGGATGTGCGGGGGGGCGCGCATCCGGCGCAACGTCCACCAGGTGTAGTCGTGGAGGAGGCTCGGGAAAGCAGCCCGCACATCAAAGAATGCAAACCCCGAGTCCTCTGCCCCCTGCTGGCGCCACCGCCCGAGGACCTTGAATTCTAGGTTGATGATGTTCTCAGACATGCTCCGACCAGCACGAAAGCCCTTTTGCGCAGTATGGCGCATCTGCTGACAGACGCGGTTAAGCCCGCAGTTGGCAGCAAGCGCGATAATCTTGTTGTCAGTGCTGGATAGGTAAAAAGGCCAGGTCTGATCTGGAGGACGCTCCACGAAGACCTGATCATTCGCTTGCGTGCCCTTGGCCAAGAAGACGCCTAAGGAGTGGTTGAAGCCTGGCCTAAGTATCCAAACAACATCCAGGTAACAGTGCAGCTCATGCAGAACGGCGTGTGCTAGCGGTCCTGCGTTCTTCCATGCCGAATAAGGTCGGCCATCAGGGCCAGGAGCGGAATCGTGCAGACGGTCAATGAGCTGGTTGAGCTGGGATTCGCAGATGGTCCATTCAATGTGTTCAGGAACATGCTGGACAAATTGGCGTAGCAGCCGTCTCACGCCAGGGCGGGGGCGACCTCCAGAGTGCACGCGGCCCCAGTGATCAGCAAGAAGTTGGCCCGCTTCCTGCGGGTCGGCGGTGGCGACCCCCTCTAAGTCCAGGATAGCTCCGAGCGGGGTGCGACGAGCGCCACTCCCCCAAACCGACTGGTTCTCGTAGAGTTTCTGTTTGGTGTCAGCCTTGCGCTGGGGGTGCATCTTCAGCGCGTCGAGCTCAACTATGTGGGACTCGAGCAGTTTGGTGGACAGGAGGTCGAGGAGGGGGAGGAGGAGGATGAGACGAGCGTAAGGAGGGAGTCCCCAATCCACACCTACCCCCCCCCCCCCCCCGCCGCTCCAAGCGGCCTCTGCGCCTGGCGGGGGAAGCTCGGGCGCGCCTGCAGATGGTCGCGCAGCCCGTGGCGAAGCTGGAGTAGACGATTCACGGATAGCCGATACTATATTCATATCATACACAAGCGGAGGACGAGGAGGAGCGGCAGCAGGAGGGCTCGAGGAAAATACAGATGGGCGGAGCGCGCTGGGGGCGGTCAGGGCGGAGGAGCGGGGCGCCTGCGGGTAGCGCGCTGATTCGCAGGGCGTCGAGCGGAGCGGCGAGAACGAGCTCGGGGGCGAGGGCGAAATCATAGTGCCTGTGGGTGTCGGAGCCGACGGGCCATTGATCCGCGCGTTGAGGTAAATGTCGTGGGCGAAATCGAGCATCTCGCGGCAATCAATGTCGACGCGGTCATCGAGCACGTCGCATCCACCGACGGGCTCGAAGTAAACGTAGCAGGCGTAACGCTGCCACTTCTTCCAGCAAAACTGGCGACATCTACCTCCCTGTTAGCCGCCAGGTTACATGCCGCACCTGCGCCCTTGCGAGGCCGACTGATGGCAAGCTCACAAGGTGCGGACCTGCCTGGTCCCTGCGCAGGCTTGGCACCGACGCCTGGCGACGGGATGGGGGACTCCCGTGGCACATTGTGCCCGGCAAAATTGGCGACGAACGCCTCCCTGTTAGCCGACAGGTTACATGCCGCGTCTGCACCCTTGCGAGGCCGACAACTGGCTAGCTCACAAGGTGCGGACCGCTCAGGTCCCTGTGCAGACTTGGCACCGACGCCTGACGGCGGAATGGAGGATTCCCGAGATATCCGCCAGTTCCAGCTTGAGACCAAATCTGAATTCAGGAATGCGATGCGCTCAAACTTGGGGGGCACCGCCGTGCGCCATACACGCAGTCGTTCTTCCCATCTCATACCATTGACATTTTGAGGAGGAGGATGAGGAAGATCAGGAAGAGGAGGAGGAGGAGGAGGAGGAGGAGGAGGAGGAGGAGGAGGAGGAGGAGGAAGAGGAGGAGGAGGAAGATGAGGAGGAGGAGGGAGGAGGGAGGGGAGGAGGGAGGAGGGAGGAGGAGGCGGGAGCCAAGGCGGGGAGGGCGGGAGCGAGGGCGGGAGCGAAGGCGGGGGTGAGGGCGGCTCAGGGCCTGCCGTTTGGCCAGAGGGGCCCTCCAGACCCCAAGAAGCATTGCTTCTGTGTCCGAGGGCTTCCCGAGCGTCCGCCCGCGGAGCGCAGCATCCATTTTACACGCCCCGAGAACAGCGCCTTTCAACCGCGAAGGCCCCCCCGAGGCCCCCCCCTTGGAGCCCCACGGCCTGCCAAGCCTCGAAAAACCGCGTGCTCACGCTCCACGCGGGGCCGCTGGCGGAAACGTTGGCGGAAACGTTGGCGGGGGCGAGTGCGGCACCGAGGGCCCGCCGGTCTGCCCGCGGAGCGCAGCATCAACTTTTCACGCCCTGGAGCCTCGTTTGTCGAATCCGCGGGCGTCCCGACCCCTCCCCCCGGGACCCCACGGCCTGCCGGCGCCCCCCCCCGGAACAGGAGATCCGCCACCGTGCCCCCTGGCACGCTGAGGCGCGGAAGAATGCCAGGGTCTGTAAGCTTGCTGGGACTCTGATGAGAGGGGTCTTCCCCCTCCCTGCCCGCAGGCTCCTGCGTGCATCGCCCCTCCTTTCCGAGG